AAAAACATTTTGAAGAATTATTAAATAGTCAGGAGGACCACGAAGCAGTAGACAATTGGACAGTTGGAGAAGATGCGATAGTTGAGAGGCAGCCTACAGAGGAGGAGGTGGTAGCAGCAATACAAGAAATGAAAAATAATAGAAGTCCTGGTAAAAATAACAAATGCACAGAAATGATCAAGTTTGGTGGAGAACAACTACAAAGAAAAATATATTGGCTATTAGTGCAAGTATGGAAAAAGGAAGTTATGCCATCGGAGTGGTATGAGGCCCGCATATGCCCTCTGCATGAAAAAGGAGACAAACTGAAGTGTGCCAACTATAGAGGTATAGCCTTATTAGACACGGTATACAAAATCTTGGCAAGAATATTGAGAAATAAACTAAATTGCTATACGGAAAGAATCCTGCATAAATATCAGGCCGGCTTTAGAAAGGACAGATCTACTGTAGACCAAATCTTCTCAATAAAGGAGATACAAACGACTTGTTATGAAGGTAAAGTTCCCCTGCATGTTTTGTTTGTGGAGTTTAGACAAACATATGATAGAGTCGATAGAGTAAAAATGTATCGAGCAATGGAACATTTGGGTATACCAAAGAAGCTGATTCGAGTAATTAAAATGATACTTAATAATTCTACGTGTGAAATTGCTTGACAGGGTCTTATTTCCAATCAATTTACGGTTGCAAAAGGCTTGAGACAGGGAGATCCTTTATCCACTACAGTATTCACCTTCGTGTTAGAAACTGTAATCAGAAAATGTAGCACGAAGGTGGAAGAAACGATCATGAAAAATGAGCACCAGTGCTTGGCATTTGCTGACGATCTAACGATCCTTTCAAAAACGGAGAAAGAATTAAGAAGAGTTGTGAAGAATATCATCGAAGAAGCACAGACATTCGGATTGGAACTAAATGAAGCCAAAACTAAATATATGATCTTGGAAGGGACAGGAGGGAAAAAAAAAGACTTTAGTGTGAGGTCAGTAAATAGTAAAAGCTATAGTTTTAAAAGGGTAGACAAATTTGAATACCTGGGTGTAGTTTTCGATGAAAATGGAAAAGAGAAATTAAAGCTCTAAGCCAGAATAGCAAAAGCGAATAAAAAATTAGGTAGCTTAAGAGCCCTACTGAACTCAAAATACGTTTTAAGACAAGGAAAACTCAGAATATATAAAACTGTAATTCGACCCACAGTAACATAAGCCGGTGAGACATGGACATTAAATAAGAAGGATGAGGATACTCTGGAAAGATGGGAAAGGAAAATATTGAGACGCATACTCGGAGGATGGAAGACAGAATATGGTGTGGAGAGAATAACCAACAGTGAATTAATGGCTTGATACAAAGAACCTACCATTACCAAGTTTGTCAAAGCACAAAGAATCAAATGGTTGGGACATGTGAAAAGAATGGCAGCAAACAGAATGCCTCAACTAGTAATAACCAGAAAATTAATCGGCCCCAACAGAAGAGGTAGACCCAGAACGATGTGGATTAGTAAAGCGGAGGAAGACCTTAAACACGTGAAGGTGGGGGACTGGAAAATAAAAGCACAAAATAGAAGCGAATGGAGAAATATTGTACACCAGGTCCTTCGGAGTAGTTAAGAATGTTATATATACATATTTAAGTTAAAGTTGTGTTTAAAATAATTGTGATTAGTTAATATCAGGATTATGTTATGTAAAAAAATGCCCTAGGCCTTAACGGCCTGTTGTGCGAATAAATAAATAAATAAATAGTTTATAGTATGTTTTAATCTTCTTTTAATCATAGTATTATTAATCCTATTCCCGACGAATACTAATTTAAATACACAAAAGTTATAAAAAAAAAAAAAAAAACAAAATTTGTTTAATTTACTGTTTGTATTTTGAGAACGATTTCCGAAGTGGAAATTTTATCTTTAATTGTGGCTTATTCCCAGTTTAATAGTAATTAATTCACAATGCCACAAGAAAATAGCTTCAGAACAATACAAAAGTTATAATAAATAATATTATTATATTTACTAAATTTAAATTTATAAAATACATTCACCGGGATAATAGCCATTTCGTAATTATTATATTGACAGTAGTATGGTCTGTTTTTAAACCAGGAGTAATTCAAATTTTCCACGTCATAATGCTTGTCTGTAATTGGTCGAAGCGCAGGCAAATTTACTCCACTAAATTATGACATATTGACACTAATGACATTTGTGAAATTTTAAAATTCAAAATTTATATCGACAATTTTCTGTATTTTCTGTGTTATTTCTTACATCTTTAGATTTTTCGTTTGCATTTATATAAAAAACAGTTCTTTTCAGAACTATTTAGCGACATATTAGTGTTATTAAGATAACAATATGGATTCAATGCCAAGTACTAGTGGTAATTATTCTTCTCCACCTTAAAAACGCCGAGTAGATTTGGATCATTTATCATCAAATGAGAAATAATGTCCTATAAACATGTACAAACATGAAAATTGATCATTCTGGAATAAAAATAACAGCCACGGTAGTAAAAATAAAACAGGCAGCAGGTTAGTTTTACAGAATAGTTATTATTAAAATCAAGACTTACTAAAGTAATGTGCTAATTTTAGGTGTTGCGAATTCAACTATTTACAACCATAGAATTTAGAACAATTAAAGAATATAAGCAGACTGGAGCATAAAATGTCCTAAAAATATTTAAGGTCGACCTTATATTCTTGCAACATAGGATGAAAGAGTTAAAACATCTATACGACAGATATTACACAGCTTCTTTTTGAAGAATGAAATGCTCACTTTAGGTAAAATTTTAAGTGAAATTAACAACCGCTTAGATCTTCCAAAATATGTGTCTTTCATTATTATATAAATTCTTTAAGCAAATCAATTTGAAGTAAGTACAAATATCGGTATGTAAATATGGGTTAGCTACAATTATATATAGTAAAATTAACTAAAACATTTTATAGATTTCATTTTTATAATCAGGTATATTATTGTTACTATTAAATATTAAGTTTTAAGTTTTTATTTGTATACTTTACTGGAATGTTGTCAAGTATTTTGGTTCAACAGATATAAGAACATGGAAAGGGAAGAAAAGGAAAAAAAAGGATATTTTTGCTTTACATATGCAGATTCAATGCAGCAAAAAATATTACATAGCATAACTATAGATTGTTTATCTTACTGTTTATAGGATGATTGATTTATTGTCTATATTATGAATGTCTTACCATAGTTATTTTTTAGGGGAAATTATTCAAAGAATATTTTATACATTTTGCTGCTGACCAAAAACAAAAGTTTCTTGCTCAAATATCTGAAATAGATTCAGTTTTTGCTGAAAAAATAAATCAAGAAATTCAAAATGGTGTAGTTGTTCATTAATCTCACCAAGACATGGAGAGATTTTGCAAGACTAATAAAATTATTAAGATTTTATTTTTACATTCATTCCGATATATATTATGCACAGAATATTATATAAATCGATTTCTGATTCTTTAAGTTGTTTTTGTAATAACTTGGACTTGGTGATATGCGATAATAGTATTTAATGTGATATTTTTCTAGTTGATATATATATATATAATAAATAGAGTTTACAGTGTTTATAAATTTATAAATGTATGATATTTATATCTAATTATCATAAGAAAAACGGCAACTATCTTTTAAATTTGTGTATAGTTGTTAAGAAGCATTTTCATTTTGTTTTCATCACAATAAAAGAACATTCGTAATGTTGTGTTTTACTTTTATTGTATTGATACAGGTGGTTTTGTTCTTCCCGTTGTAGATCATCACAAGAAAACTACAAAATTATACTAGAATGTAACAGAATAGATTGAATTAGTTGAAATCAGAAATCCAGTATTTTTTAGTATATTTTATTTATTGATAACAAATGGGACAAACTCACTGTCAAAATTAAACAAGAATCCAGCATTAAAGAAATTGCAAGTACACACTTATTTACACAAATTTATTGTTTTGCATTTTAGTGCTTCAAATAGATCCTTAAGATATTGATACATAAGTTAAATCTATCTAATAAGGTAACTGATTACCATGCATGAAAAGTAGGACCACACCTATATTTGAACCATAATTTATTCTGTGATATGAAACATGAAAAAGTCAATTCTAAAGCAGTGAATGGGAAGGAATATGTAAAACAAACTGGCTGAAGCAATTTAGGAGATTGGATTATTAAGCTTAAAAATAATGATCAAAGTCACAGTTAATTCTTCTGGTAAGAAAAAAAAACCTAGATTCAATAAATTAGTCACACCAGAATAAGAATATGGTCTACACAGTTTAAAAAAACAGTATTTCAGAAATCTTTGAACTCTCTCTAACTTTTTGATACATGCATTTGCATAGCTTTGTTGCATATAAGATCTATCTGTAACATTATTGACTCTCTGGATCAAAATATTCTCTAAATTAAGTACCATCGACTCAAAAGATCTATAAAACTGGATCACCCGATATTTAAGTATATATACATGGGACCAAATGTGAAAAACGTCCTTTTTTATTGTAATAATTGTAATGTATATTGGAAGTGAATTTAAAAATATATTATTCAAACATAAAGTTAGGTTAGAATTGACGTGTAAGGTTGTCCGATATTGATTACTCGATTACCGCAAGGCCGAGATATACAACAAAAAAAGAAGATGTATTTGGTGACTTTTCTAGTAACTTTCTTGGGTGTGAATCTGTCTTTTTGGTTTACTCCTCCTGGTTAAAAAACAAAGTATAGTAACAATGATAATTATTCACACATCAACGTACAACGTACGTTTCATTTAATATTTTGATTTAACTTGTTTGAAAATGAATCATGACGCACGGTAAAAGATAGAGTGGACGTATTTTATGTATACAATATATTTTCGAATCTTTTACAATTTGAGCCAATAATATATTTGACATATTTGACGTTATAAATACATAAATTCATCTGACATATGCTTGACATACATGTACAATTTTTATACAAAAATCAGATAAACAATGTCAGTTTCTAGATTTAAATTACTTTTGCAACCGAAGATATTCTCTATGCGATCTTTGCGTTTTAATTACGACAAATCACGAAAAAATATAATCTTAACGAAAGCAACGAAAGTGATAGTTCAAGGTTTCACCGGTAAAAGTGGAACCGCTCATGCCAAATTGTGTTTAGAATACGGAACTCGTATTGTAGGTGGAATCAATCCCAAGAAAGGTGGACAGAAGCATTTAAATTTACCCATTTTTGCTACAGTAAAAGAAGCGAAAACAGCGGTTAATCCAGATGCAAGTATTATATTCGTTCCACCTGCCACTGCAGCAGAGGTAAGGATCGATTCAGTATAATAATGTAATTTCTAGATAAGGTTTGTTTTTTCTAGACCTTTTGTTTGTTGGTAGTGATTTAAGGAAAAAAGGCCTTTTTTTAAAAAGTACATGGGAAAAACGATCCAAGTCACATTATACCCGAATTTAAGTTATAAGTACATCATTTATTATAGTTTCGTATTTGCCCTTTTACTCTGCGCACTTGAAATTATCAAAAAACCGATCTAAAGGCGCCCACTCACTCAGAAGGAAGCGCGAAGGATTGAATGTGCATGGCACGGAGTACAGTTAAAAGTGTGTGTGTATAGGCGAAAAATGTGGAATGCGCAACCAAGCCTCTCAAAATCAGGAGCGTCTTGATTTTTAGCGTGTGCAACTATCATCGAGCGGGGAAGAATGAGAGTGTATGGGCAACAAGTCTCTGCATGTTTCATTTTCAATCAGTGCTGTACGACTGTTCGTTGGATGTTGAATATTATTAAGCATTTTATAATTTTATGAGAAAACAAACATTTAATTAAAAACCATGAGTGATATAAGGTGCATGTCGAGAGAGTTTATTACGGAGTTCATAGAGCTATACAGAAGTTATACCTGTTTACGGCAGAATAAAAATAAAGCATACAGTGATCGAATAGGAAAGAATATAGCCTGTAATTGAGAAGATTCCCTACCAACACAAGGATGTTTGCAGAAAAGTTGTTTAATGATATACTTTACAAAGCAGAACTAGGAAGGCTCAATGAAAATTCTGTTCTTTCGGTAAATATGCCACTTCTGTCTGCATTACCTCAATGTGAAAGTCAATAACAAGTCAATATTCAGATATCGAGTTCAATGGGTCAACAATCCAATTCCGTTGCTACATATAAGAATTTTTCTAATAATACTGATTTCTGCAATTCGTAAAGATTTTTTTTTTGAAATATTAATATTTTTAGTATGATCTGTACTGATTCTAGTTTCAGTTTTTGTGTTTTCAGTTCTTTGTCTTTATTGAAAATCTCAATAAAAACGAATTTTATATAGGTAAGATTATTTTTTCTAATAAAAAAAAAATGTACATTGCAAATCAACTTACTTCATTACTTTCTTTTGTAATACACGACATATTGCTTCACATGTTTCCGGAATAATTCGACCTAATGCCTGAGCTGAAATTATTGCTGAAAATTTTAAGTCCTCATAGCTCTCTTCCCGTTGCCAAAAATCTTAATCTAGCAGTTAGCCTTTCATGTGCCGTTAAAGCTTGCTGCATTCGGGTGTCCTGTTTTTGTATCAAAAGAGTTACTAAAGATAATAGTTCAAAATACGCATCCTGATCCATTCTCAAGTAATTATGTCAATCTGATGAATCCAGTCGCAATTCGTCCAGTAAACTGACATGAAAGTACGTAGCTCGTTTTTGTAACCAAGCCTTTTTCCATTGCGACCTTGGTTTTCTTTTAATAAGACACCTTTCTTTAATACAAACACACGCCACTGTCATTAATAAAAGATCGTTTTTTGACGTCATGTTCACTTTAACCGTACTTCTAAACTGAAAGCAAAAGTACTGGTGTATGCCGGCGTGGAGCGTACGAGTTTACCTTACAGCAAACATGCACAGACTTAATTGCGCATTCTTCCTTCTTTATAAGTGGGGCGCCTTAAGTCAGTAAAAACCTCGAATAAAAATAATTTCTGTATTGAAAAGCGATCTAACTTCGTGTATTGTACGAAAAATCGATCGAAGTCTATAATAACTGTCAAGCAGGTTTTGATATGGTGTATGCAGCAAATTGCAACACTACCTAGGTAACGATATTACAGACAGTAAATTATCCTCTCTTTGCATATTTTAGAAAGCGAAACCGGTCGTCTGATAGTTAAATTAAATTGATTGTGAGTAAGTCTTATTTATTATTTCTTTACCTATTTGATCTGTTCTTTTTCAATTAAATTTTGTGACTTCAGGTATTCGCTTGCAAATTCGTGTGCTGTCTGATATGTGTGTATTTCTTGCATTAGCGTGTCTTGAATATCATGTGATTCGGACACAATTTCAATCAGCGCAGCTTCTTTTAGTTCCTCACATATATCGTCTTCCACCAATTCATTCTCATCTACAAACATTAGTACTCTAATATCACAGAATTTTGCTAAAGAAAAAGGAATAAAAAACTAAGAAGAGTCTCACTTACGCCTACACTGCATATCACGATTTTCAAAGTAATTATCCTCTTCCATATCTAGTTCCTCTAAATCGGAATTATCTCCATTGATGATTTCATAAAGTTCCTTCTCAGTTAACGGTTTTTTCCAGTACAGTCTGTCAGTCATCATGTACACTGTAAAGTACATATTTGTAAACCTTCATGCTATCAAAATATTAGAAGTTTTCTAAGAAACCAATAATTCATAACACCTAAAATTACAATGGACTCGAGAAAAATATAACAGTTTGATAAACACGCAAAAAACAACAGAAACATTTATAACTAATTTGAGGTTATACGCCAACGTAATATTCACTGTACTAAGAATGGTCACTTTACACAAAAACAGTAGAAGGTAAACGTTTTGATGTGATGCGTCGATTTTATATGCAATTTGTCATACGACACTACAGTGTGCCGCATGACTTACAGAGAGCTGATTCGGAAATAGCCCATTACTAGCATTTGAACGGCGTACACTACAGTGTACGCCGTGTCGGAAAGGGTTAAAAATCAAACACAAAAGTTACCTAGATTGGTCTAAAATTTCTGAGGTTAGGAACTAGAAGTACTAAAATTTCTGAGGGTGGAAACTGAACTAACACTCTTTGCCACACGAACAAATTTATCTCCAAAATGCGAAAAAACCTGGGATGACAACTGAGGACAAACAAAACAAGGAAGAAAACTGCTGGGCAAAATGAAAATATGTGGTTATTCTTCAAAGTTGTTGTAAACGCCGTCTTACAAATATCTCAGATAAAAGACGGCATGGTAAACAAAACACAGTGACTACTCGTTCAAAATTAACACATTACATTGAGTATAATTCACGTTTTTCAAAAAATTTGCCGGTTTTTTACGCAAACATCCACAGCGTCTTGACTGTTCAACGATTCTTTCAAACCTCCTTCTGACCTTCGATCGATCTCCGTCGTACCAGCATCTAGTCTTTGAATCATTGTTTGAAGGAATTTATTATGCTACAAGTTAAGGTTTGATTTCATTGCAGCGTACCACCATTCGCTTTTATGCTTATTTTGTGGTATGCTGTAACAAAATCTGACCTAAACTATCTTTGTTATTTTTATTTTATACATGTTTTAGTTTTAATTTATTGTCATTGATTTTTAAATTTATTTAATTTTTGTGACCTTTATTCATGGATTTTATAGTATATAAGAAATGTCTTTTATTTGTTATGTATGTTTTGTTTATTTTATGTTCGAATTCTTCCTAGATTTACTTTTTCTATTTTTATTTTATTTTTGACAAAAGTTTCGTATTTTGTATGGATAAAGATCTAGATTATTATAATAAAAGTTTTGTTTTAGGCAATTCTTGAATCAATAGTTGCCGAAATACCATTAATTGTGGTTATAACCGATGGAATACCGCAGCATGATATGGTGAGGGTTAGGCATGCGCTTATAGGCCAGAACAAATCCAGAGTAATTGGTCCAAACTGTCCTGGTATTATTGCTTCAGGACAATGTAAAATTGGAATAATGCCAAATGCCATTCATCAACAAGGTAAAAATTTGTTTTTGTTTTTAAAAATGTAGTTAAAACATAATTTTGTGTTAAATAATTCCAATTAAAGTGAATAGTGCCAATACAAGGAATACAAAAGTAATACAAATATACAATGAAAGTGCTTATAACCAGGATACAAAATGGTACAAGAGATACAAAAGCAATAAAAATATATAAAAAAGATACAAAAGTAATAAAAATATACAATTAAAATACTCACACATAAACAAGATAAAAAAATTTAAATAACATGTACTGAATAAAACAACAAAAAACAAGCTTTGTTTCCTCCAATCTTTATCTATCTCACTAAATATTCATTGCTCGAAATATGGTTCAAAATCTATTATAATATCGCTTACATATTGGTTAAAGGTATTAAAATTGTTTTCCCTTTTAATCACATCCGGCAATTTATTATAAAATTTTACACGTGCATAGTCATAGAGAAGTAGCTGGTCTTTATCATAAGAAAACTCCACATACTATAACCGATTCGTCGGGAAAAATGATAATAGACGAACATAAAATTCGAACAACCTGGTGTAATTATAAAAGTGAACTGTATAATGATGATAGACCCGAAGAACCGGAGACTTTAGTGGAAGGTGAAGGACCAGAAATACTAAAATCAGAAATACTGCATGCTATAAAGTTAGCAAAGAACAAGAAAGCCGTTGGCCCTGATAACATAACGACAGAGATGTTAAAGCTTATAAATGAGAAGAACATTGGAATACTGGTCAAACTTTTCAATGATGTTTATTCGACTAGTGATATCCCTGAAGATTGGTTTAAAGTCCGAATTCATAACACTACCAAAAAAACAACGTCCGAAAAACTTAAGCGATTATAGAATGATAAGCCTTATGAACCACACTTTTAAAATATTTCTACGCATCATCCACAGTAGAATCAGAGATAAATGTGAAGAAGGTCAGGATGAAACACAATTTGGCTTCAGAAATGGACTGGGAATTCGGGACGCCCTCTTTGTACTAAATGTATTACTGCAGAAATGTCGAGATCAGAGGAAAGATATCTTTGCTGTATTTATTGACTATGAAAAGGCCTTTGATCGAGTACAGCATCACAAATTAATAACAATATTAAAAGATAAAGGAGTTGATAGTCAAGACATACGATTCATAGAAAAGTTATACTGGCGTCAAACAGCGACAGCTTGCATAAACGGAAAATCAACAGAAATATGTAAAATACAAAGAGGTGTCAGACAGGGTTGTATACTATCCCCACTGTTATTTAATTTATATTCAGATAGAATATTTAAAGAAGCGCTGCATAATTTGGAATGGGGCGTGAAACTTAATGGAATTCTGATAAATACAATCTGATATGCAGACGATACAGTTATTTTAAGTGATGACATAAATGGATTACAATGCCTTTTAAATGCCACTGAAACAGTGGGAAGAGAGTTTGGCCTAAACTTAAACTGTTCAAAAACAAAACACATGGTGTTTAGCCGTTTAGCACATCAAGATGCACGATTATATGTTGATGGTCATATAATTCAAAGAGTGTCCAGTTTTAAATATCTTGGTTGCCATATTACTGAACAACTAGATCCAGATCAAGAGATAAAATGTAGAATCGAGATAGCCCGCACGACATTTTTAAAAATTAGGTCATTCTTCTGTAATGATAACTTGAAACTTCAACTTCGAAAGCGTATGGTTAAATGCTACATTTGGTCAGTCCTCTTATACGGTGTCGAAGCATGGACATTAAAAATATCCACCATTAATCGTCTGGAGGCCTTTGAAATGTGGCTGCACAGACGTATACTAAAAATTCCATGGACGGCTATGCTGACAAATGTGGCAGTCTTTGAGAGAGCAAATGCTGCCCTTGAGCTGCTTGATAACATCAAATGTACAAAGATGGCCTATTTTGGACACGTAGTAAGGGGAGACCGATATAATATTCTTTAACTTATTATGATGTGTAAAATCGAAGGACGCAGAGGAATTGGTAGAAAGCAGGCCTCTTGGTTGAAGAATATCAGAAAGTGGACAGGATAAAGAAAGCTGAGCAACTCTTTAGAATAGCTCGAGACAGAGACAGTTTCGCCATGTTAATCGCCAACGTCAAGGGGACTTGATAGGGCACGTTAAGAAGAAGAAGAACTACAGGAGATGAAAGAGAAATAATGCTTGCGTATGTCAGTGTCACATAAAAGATCGGTTCTCCACTATGATTGAAGCAAAGTACCTATCCGGTACTATCTTATTTCATTATTACTATTAATACCTGTTACTTACTGATCCCTTTTACTTTTAGGAATTGTTGGTATAGTCTCAAGGTCTGGCACTCTAACCTATGAGGCTGTTGATCAAACAACCAAACTTGGTTTGGGTCAAACAACTGTTGTAGGGATAGGAGGTGATCCCTTTAATGGAACCAGCTTTATTGATGTACTAGAAATATTTTTGCAGGATCCTAAAACAAAGGGAATAGTGATAATAGGTAAGCAGCGTTTTATTGTTGTATGTTGTTGCCTTTTAGGAAACTGTTTAATGACAAATTCTTACTAATATTGTCATAATAACGCATTTTTATTGTATTCCCAAAATATCCAGATCACATCTACCATTTAATCAATAGTAAAATCCATCCTAACTATTTAGTAAGTTTGATCAAATAAAAGGCAAATATCGAGCACATTTTATTAATTCAATCTTGCCCAAGTACTTTTGCTTCCTAGAGCATCTTCAGCGGCGTTTTGTCAAATTTGGCCTATCCAACAATCTTTGTGAATGTCATAAACATAAAATTAGATATATAGAAAATTATTATAAAGAATGTATTACTTACATACAGGGTGAGTCATGAGGAACTTTACATACTTCTACCATATGTAGAGTCCCTCAGGGAGCATATCATGTGGCCACTAAAAAATGTCAACTCCTCTTCTTTAATAATTAACAGGGTGATTTGCGTAATTGACCATTTATTTCATTTTACTGTAGTGTTTATACGGCTCATTTGATTTTTTTAATTTTTGCATGATACAGTACACTACTATCAAGCATTCTACAACTGGTATTAGCTAAACTAAAAAATTCCAGGACTAGCTTTAGAAAAATTAATTTAGAGATTCGTATTAAATATTACACCCTGTATATATATATATATTTTTTAAATGACATTAAATAGCCAATGAAAACGACATATGTGACAATGTTGTCGCACTTAAATTTTTAAGTGCGACACATTTTAAGTATTAAATTTTTAGTGAACGATCAAATCTCTCCAAAAATAGAACAACCATAATGAAGTATCAAATTAAGTATAAGGTATTAATTTAAATAAATGTTATAAATTTCAAACATTTTAATTAAAATGAGTTCCTACAACATAATCTAATACGTAGAAAATTAACATCTTTACTGTATTATATCTACCATAGAATCAATTGTTTTTCAATTTTAAATTTTTACTCATAGATCGTATTGGGGCATTATTTTCGATAAATAATAAATTAAATTGATTAAAAAGTCAAACCTCTTGTATGTGTTAGTTTTTGTTGATTGTAAATGATTAAAATTTTATGTCAAATAATAATACATTGCATCAACTGTACTAAATAAAAATAAATCTAAAAAAGTTTAAAATGAAGGTTGGCGTTGACCGTTTGACGTTTCTTGATATTTTATACCCATTGTCATTATTGTGATTACCAATTGTTATTTATGTGTACAAGAATACATATTCTTCTGTTATATCTACGTTACGTACATTGTGTTAGTTTTGGTAGAGCTTTTGTTACTTTCGTTCAAAATGCCACATCAGTTTTCGACCACAGAATATGCAGACATAATATTTGTTTATGGATTCTGTAATGGGAATGGTAGGGTTGCTAGTAGAGAATATCGCAGGACGTGTGCGTTCGCGCTCAGTATAGACGTATAGCGTGGGGATTTGTTGCATTTGCAAGACAAGTTCGGATTTATTGAGTTTTGTTCATTTTATTGATTTATGAACAATGTTTGCAATAGATAGATTTGTATGAAGAAAATCCCATATTATGTTATCAGTAAACGTTCCTTAACAGGTATGGCTTTTCTTAAGACTGTACCGTTTTTCTTTATTACGAGGCCTATGTCACTTAAAGGCATTCAAAGTCTTTTACTGACATACGTGTAAAATTTTGAAGTTGTCCATTATTAGGTTCTTAAGCCAAATCTACTAGTAAATCGGACTTCATTTGTATGGTATTTCTTTTAAAGAAATGCGTCGTCCACCATCGCCTATTTTTCCTTTGTTTTTTCTTTTTTAATGAACTAATAACCACAAACGCCACACTAACCATAAGCAGCTCCTCAGACATTTTTTCACGAATGAATGGAGCGCCTTGAGCATGCATACATATGCGGTGATTTCTAATTTCAACGAATGCTCTGAGCGCGAATGGTTTGAGTACGCACGCATATGCGTGGCTTCTCACCGCATGAGTGTGCTAGTCTGTACGCGCCTTAAGCATGTACACGCGTTCTTTAAAGCTGCTTTCATAAAATGGCCAAAAAAAAATGTTGTAAACTCAATATGCAAATATATCGCAATACTTACTCTTAATATTCGTCCTCCATGTAAATACATTTGTGACATATGAAATTAAGATTCAGTGACAAAAAGTATACAAAAGTGTTTCAGAAAACTGCAAAATAGTGTAGATAAACAAAGTTGTTCCAGAGACTTAATATTTAGCTGTTTTCTGACTCCAAGGAAGTTCACCAGTAATGTACAACATTCCTGCTACCAGGTGATATCACTTTATTTGAAAATTTTGTATAAAATTTGTTTTCAACAGTTCACAAATAACTCATAGTGCACTTTTAAACAAAATATAACCGTATTAAATACAGATTCTCATATAACGAAAATAATAGTTTTGAATATATTTAATTTAAATTTTTTTTTGGGTTGTCTTTAATCAGAAGTACCACAATTATTTACTTGTTTTAAGTCCATTATCCTTTCATTGAGTTCATTATAATATATCTTATCAATAATATTTTCAAGGATATCCTACAAATTTAAACGTTATTTAAAATAATTATTATCAAACATAAACAAATATAATTAGGCAGTAGAAATCATTGTATTTACTTAGCATATGATTTTGCTTGGAAACACTCAATATACTTGCAAACATTTGTAACGAGTAACTTTCATTTCTTTCATTATTTTCAATCAAAACATTTACTATTTAACAATCGTAAAATAGTTTCGAAACACAATTCAGATTTCTGCTTTTATCTGTGCTTTCTAAAAATTTCAAAGCAAAACAGACGTTGATAAAGGTGTTAAAAGAGACGTGGGGAATCTAAAATTTGCATTCCACGACACATCTTTTCAACTAAGCAGAAATCCTTAGCGAATTGGTTTCTTGTACTCGTACAGAGTAAATCCGAAAAAAGTGAAAAAGACAGCAAATATTTGATTTCACGCAAACAGCGCCTTTGTATCTGTTGATACGTATTTCGACCTAATAGGTCTCATCAGAACAGTTATTCAAAGGTGTTCTCAACGTGAAAGATCAATATTTCCTGTCTTTTAAGAAGCAACAATAACATGGCTTCGAATACGGACGCACTAGCGACATCTAATTTAACAATCGTAAAATAGTTTCGAAACACAATTCAGATTTCTGCTTTTATCTGTGCTTTCTAAAAATTGCAAAGCAAAACAGACGTTGATAAAGGTGTTAAAAGAGACGTGGGGAATCTAAAATTTGCATTCCACGATACATCTTTTCAACTAAGCAGAAATCCTTAGCGAATTGGTTTCTTGTACTCGTACAGAGTAAATCCGAAAAAAGTGAAAAAGACAGCAAATATTTGATTTCACGCAAACAGCGCCTTTGTATCTGTTGATACGTATTTCGACCTAATAGGTCTCATCAGAACAGTTATTCAAAGGTGTTCTCAACGTGAAAGATCAATATTTCCTGTCTTTTAAGAAGCAACAATAACATGGCTTCGAATACGGACGCACTAGCGACATCTAATTTAACAATCGTAAAATAGTTTCGAAACACAATTCAGATTTCTGCTTTTATCTGTGCTTTCTAAAAATTGCAAAGCAAAACAGACGTTGATAAAGGTGTTAAAAGAGACGTGGGGAATCTAAAATTTGCATTCCACGACACATCTTTTCAACTAAGCAGAAATCCTTAGCGAATTGGTTTCTTGTACTCGTACAGAGTAAATCCGAAAAAAGTGAAAAAGACAGCAAATATTTGATTTCACGCAAACAGCGCCTTTGTATCTGTTGATACGTATTTCGACCTAATAGGTCTCATCAGAACAGTTATTCAAAGGTGTTCTCAACGTGAAAGATCAATATTTCCTGTCTTTTAAGAAGCAACAATAACATGGCTTCGAATACGGACGCACTAGCGACATCTAATTTAACAATCGTAAAATAGTTTCGAAACACAATTCAGATTTCTGCTTTTATCTGTGCTTTCTAAAAATTGCAAAGCAAAACAGACGTTGATAAAGGTGTTAAAAGAGACGTGGGGTATCTAAAATTTGCATTCCACGACACATCTTTTCAACTAAGCAGAAATCCTTAGCGAATTGGTTTCTTGTACTCGTACAGAGTAAATCCGAAAAGATGTGTCGTGGAATGCAAATTTTAGATTCCCCACGTCTCTTTTAACACCTTTATCAACGTCTGTTTTGCTTTGCAATTTTTAGAAAGCACAGATAAAAGCAGAAATCTGAATTGTGTTTCGAAACTATTTTACGATTGTTAAATTAGATGTCGCTAGTGCGTCCGTATTCGAAGCCATGTTATTGTTGCTTCTTAAAAGACAGGAAATATTGATCTTTCACGTTGAGAACACCTTTGAATAACTGTTCTGATGAGACCTATTAGGTCGAAATACGTATCAACAGATACAAAGGCGCTGTTTGCGTGAAGTCAAATATTTGCTGTCTTTTTCACTTTTTTCGGATTTACTCTGTACGAGTACAAGAAACCAATTCGCTAAGGATTTCTGCTTAGTTGAAAAGATGTGTCGTGGAATGCAAATTTTAGATTCCCCACGTCTCTTTTAACACCTTTATCAACGTCTGTTTTGCTTTGCAATTTTTAGAAAGCACAGATAAAAGCAGAAATCTGAATTGTGTTTCGAAACTATTTTACGATTGTTAAATTAGATGTCGCTAGTGCGTCCGTATTCGAAGCCATGTTATTGTTGCTTCTTAAAAGACAGGAAATATTGATCTTTCACGTTGAGAACACCTTTGAATAACTGTTCTGATGAGACCTATTAGGTCGAAATACGTATCAACAGATACAAAGGCGCTGTTTGCGTGAAATCAAATATTTGCTGTCTTTTTCACTTTTTTCGGATTTACTCTGTACGAGTACAAGAAACCAATTCGCTAAGGATTTCTGCTTAGTTGAAAAGATGTGTCGTGGAATGCAAATTTTAGATTCCCACGTCTCTTTTAACACCTTTATCAACGTCTGTTTTGCTTTGCAATTTTTAGAAAGCACAGATAAAAGCAGAAATCTGAATTGTGTTTCGAAACTATTTTACGATTGTTAAATTAGATGTCGCTAGTGCGTCCGTATTCGAAGCCATGTTATTGTTGCTTCTTAAAAGACAGGAAATATTGATCTTTCACGTTGAGAACACCTTTGAATAACTGTTCTGATGAGACCTATTAGGTCGAAATACGTATCAACAGATACAAAGGCGCTGTTTGCGTGAAATCAAATATTTGCTGTCTTTTTCACTTTTTTCGGATTTACTCTGTACGAGTACAAGAAACCAATTCGCTAAGGATTTCTGCTTAGTTGAAAAGATGTGTCGTGGAATGCAAATTTTAGATTCCCCACGTCTCTTTTAACACCTTTATCAACGTCTGTTTTGCTTTGCAATTTTTAGAAAGCACAGATAAAAGCAGAAATCTGAATTGTGTTTCGAAACTATTTTACGATTGTTAAATTAGATGTCGCTAGTGCGTCCGTATTCGAAGCCATGTTATTGTTGCTTCTTAAAAGACAGGAAATATTGATCTTTCACGTTGAGAACACCTTTGAATAACTGTTCTGATGAGACCTATTAGGTCGAAATACGTATCAACAGATACAAAGGCGCTGTTTGCGTGAAGTCAAATATTTGCTGTCTTTTTCACTTTTTTCGGATTTACTCTGTACGAGTACAAGAAACCAATTCGCTAAGGATTTCTGCTTAGTTGAAAAGATGTGTCGTGGAATGCAAATTTTAGATTCCCCACGTCTCTTTTAACACCTTTATCAACGTCTGTTTTGCTTTGCAATTTTTAGAAAGCACAGATAAAAGCAGAAATCTGAATTGTGTTTCGAAACTATTTTACGATTGTTAAATTAGATGTCGCTAGTGCGTCCGTATTCGAAGCCATGTTATTGTTGCTTCTTAAAAGACAGGAAATATTGATCTTTCACGTTGAGAACACCTTTGAATAACTGTTCTGATGAGACCTATTAGGTCGAAATACGTATCAACAGATACAAAGGCGCTGTTTGCGTGAAATCAAATATTTGCTGTCTTTTTCACTTTTTTCGGATTTACTCTGTACGAGTACAAGAAACCAATTCGCTAAGGATTTCTGCTTAGTTGAAAAGATGTGTCGTGGAATGCAAATTTTAGATTCCCCACGTCTCTTTTAACACCTTTATCAACGTCTGTTTTGCTTTGCAATTTTTAGAAAGCACAGATAAAAGCAGAAATCTGAATTGTGTTTCGAAACTATTTTACGATTGTTAAATTAGATGTCCGCTAGTGCGTCCGTATTCGAAGCCATGTTATTGTTGCTTCTTAAAAGACAGGAAATATTGATCTTTCACGTTGAGAACACCTTTGAATAACTGTTCTGATGAGACCTATTAGGTCGAAATACGTATCAACAGATACAAAGGCGCTGTTTGCGTGAAATCAAATATTTGCTGTCTTTTTCACTTTTTTCGGATTTACTCTGTACGAGTACAAGAAACCAATTCGCTAAGGATTTCTGCTTAGTTGAAAAGATGTGTCGTGGAATGCAAATTTTAGATTCCCCACGTCTCTTTTAACACCTTTATCAACGTCTGTTTTGCTTTGCAATTTTTAGAAAGCACAGATAAAAGCAGAAATCTGAATTGTGTTTCGAAACTATTTTACGATTGTTAAATTAGATGTCGCTAGTGCGTCCGTATTCGAAGCCATGTTATTGTTGCTTCTTAAAAGACAGGAAATATTGATCTTTCACGTTGAGAACACCTTTGAATAACTGTTCTGATGAGACCTATTAGGTCGAAATACGTATCAACAGATACAAAGGCGCTGTTTGCGTGAAATCAAATATTTGCTGTCTTTTTCACTTTTTTCGGATTTACTCTGTACGAGTACAAGAAACCAATTCGCTAAGGATTTCTGCTTAGTTGAAAAGATGTGTCGTGGAATTCAAATTTTAGATTCCCCACGTCTCTTTTAACACCTTTATCAACGTCTGTTTTGCTTTGCAATTTTTAGAAAGCACAGATAAAAGCAGAAATCTGAATTGTGTTTCGAAACTATTTTACGATTGTTAAATTAGATGTCGCTAGTGCGTCCGTATTCGAAGCCATGTTATTGTTGCTTCTTAAAAGACAGGAAATATTGATCTTTCACGTTGAGAACACCTTTGAATAACTGTTCTGATGAGACCTATTAGGTCGAAATACGTATCAACAGATACAAAGGCGCTGTTTGCGTGAAATCAAATATTTGCTGTCTTTTTCCACCATTTACTATTTATTTTTTTTTAATTAAATAAAACATTAAATATAGCCGCTACACCTGCCCTCTAAGGATTAAGGTCTCAAGATATGAATATTATTGGGACCGTGCAAGTTCGGAACAGCGACACCTGGTGTCGTAAATCAGCAAAATTTACTGCGCTTTCATGTTAGATCAAGGTTACCGGATAACTGTCAAGGACGTAGCCCCAAAAAAGAATAAGAAGAAAAAGTAAGATTGAGGTTATGTCGGTATGTTATTCATCGAGCAAAAAGACAAAAGAGGGAATCTAATTCTTATGAAAAGGAGACCAAAAAAGTGGCCTCTGATGGCGGACATATCCGGAAATGCGAATGCACCAAATTTAAATTTTCCGATACTTATCAACAGTAGCTATATAATATTTTTCAGAATGTGTCTTAGACGAGAAAGTTTTAATTAATTATTAACGATAATAGTCTAAAATGCGACACAATTGTTAAAAAACTTAATATAAATTAGATTTTCATGTGACATTTGGGACAAACAATAATATAACCCAACTAAATTTGATGTCAAACAAGGAGAGATACTCTCTTTCCTTGTTTAATGTGGCCTCTAAAGATCGCACTTCCTGTCTAACGATACGTTTGCCCCCACTACCTTTACATTCCCTCTTTTGTCTTTTTGCTCGATGATGTTATTAAAAGGTTAACGTTGTATGTAGTGTAAATAAAAATAAATATATTATTAAATTACAGCATTACTGTTAATATGGATGCAATAATAAAAACTGGATTTCAGAAAGTAAATCACCAAATAACTTTTCAACCAAGCACTGAGTCAAATGGAAAAGCTTTAGTAGTAGAAAATGTCAAAAAAGAATGGAAGAATTATGTGGAAGAATTAAGAAAAATAAATTACCATAAATAATGCTAATGCATAAATTAGCAGATTAAGCCCATGATATCATCATATTGGTTTGAACAATTAATTCTTTCCCTGTAAACTTTTGGACAGCGAATATATCTTAATGCATCTTCAGAAAAACTTGAACTTGATGCATTTTTGTAAACTTCAAAAAAATAAAATTTAAACAATAAACTTGATTTTTGGGTTAAAATGAACTCTAAGTGAGTGTTATGAAACTAAAATTTACACTTAAAAGTGAACTTTTATTTATTATTTATTTCAAACTGACTTTAAAATCGAGCGCAAGAATAATGCATAATTTAGTTATGTTACTTATGCTTTTTTATGATATAAATCCACTTTTCTCTTTGTAGTAATTTGTGCTTCGAAGTTGGAAACGAATAAAACTTAAATTGACAATTTTTTGTTGTATTTTTACAATTTATAACACAGAATTTCCTAAATCCCATTTTCTTCAGTGACAGAAGGTGTAAATAAACAAACGAATATGAAATATGACAACTGACAATATGAATTTATGAAATCTATGAAATTTGCAGTAAAAATGCAAGATTTCTCCGCTACTCGCGCACGATCGTTTCTCGTATCACACACAAGTACTTGCACGTCGCCAATAGTAAACTGTAGTAGAAATTCATTCATTCAAATTTTTACCAAAGTATTAAATTCAATTATTTTAAATTTATTAAAATCCAAATCAATAATCTTACAAATAAAATAGATAGAAAATAAATATTATCTATAATTAAAATACGTAATATCATATTATTATAATAACTATAATCATTATTAAAAATATATAACACTTGGCGCGTAATATAATTAATATTATATAAAAAAATTTATCACCTTCATCATCATTGTAATCATCTAATAAAATTTTTTTTTCGTCTCCTTCAGTCTTAATTAATCCAACTTTGGATATATACCTCCTCCAAAACAATCCAGTGTTTTCTATTTTGCGCCATTTGCTTCCAGTTGTGTCCTCCGATCTTCTTAATATCATTAGCCCATCTCATTTGTGATCTTCTTCTGCTTCTCTTTCTTAACTATGGTCTCCATTGTTGTATTTCGTGGTTCCAGCTCTTTTCCTTCAGTCGGGTATTGTGTCCTGCGAAGCCCCATTTTAATTTGGCAGCATGTTTTCCTGCGTGATTTACTTTCGTTTTGCTTCTAATCCATTTGTTTGTTTTGTTTTGTCTATAAGTCTCATCCCGAGCTCTTTGTGCTTTTACTATTTTACCCATGTTAGACTTGATGAATGTCTACTTCTGTGACTATACGTGAGTATAAGGAAGATAAACTGATCGTAAATAGTTCTCCAAATCCTGCCCATACTAGTATTATTCTTCTAGTAATTTTTTAACAATTAATTTAACTTTTTAAATAATAAAATATAAACAATATGTATATTCAGTAGTTGGAGCTACACTGCAAATAAAAGTTTGTATTTGACATCACATTTTTTGGTGGATGTTTTGGTGGATTGAGAAATTATAAATCATTTATCTAATAAAATTTCATTTTTTATAGGAGAAATTGGTGGTGTGCAAGAGGAACAAGCAGCAGAATATCTCAAAGTTCACAACGTCGGTCCTAATGCCAAGCCAGTTGTAGCATACATAGCGGGTCTTAGCGCTCCACCTGGACGTCGAATGGGTCATGCCGGAGCAATCATTTCTGGTGGAAAAGGTAAAGCTGGAGACAAAATAAAGGCATTAGAGAAAGTTGGCGTTAAAGTGACGGGGGTTCTTACTCAAATTGGCCAAACCATGTTTAATGCTTTAAAAGAAAACAACAAGATTTAAGGTGTACTTTATCGATTTAAATATAGATTTATTCCCCTATAATTATTTTTGTTAGTTACTTTTCAAGTTTACCATTATTATTTCGGCATATTGCTAATTACAGTAGTAACTTACATAATAGCTTAAGCAATAACTGAATTAGGTCACAGGTAGTATCTGTTGTAGGATCATATCTTCCTCAAGTAAAAAAGTAGAGTTTGACAAGATTAGACAACTTACTTAATAAGCTCACTATTAATGAACCTATCATTGAACGAGATAATAAAACAAGTAAAAATTAAAAAATATATACCGATTAGAAAATTAGCAAATAAGAAGCACCAAAAAATACACTTAACCGATTAATTGACAAAACAATAAACCTATTAATAAACCAATTGAAAAAACAGGTATCTAACTAGGACTTAATATATTGAAGATCTTTTCATGGAGACAAGAATGGAACCAACACAAATTGACAAAGAGGAAGCTCCGATAATATTAAAATCTTATCTTAAGTCCAACATGCTATAAATAACTCAAAATCTGGTAGAGCCCCTGGCCAGATAAAGTTCATATCGAGCTGATTAAACTTATAAACGAAGATAATTGTTTAAGTGCAATAACTATATTCTTTAACAACATATACAAATCTGGTGAGATACTTACGGAATAGCTGCTATCGACCTTTGTTCCACTACCACAAAACCAAGAACCCCAAACACTGTAATGACTATAGATTAATTAGCTTAAAGTCATACTATTAAAAACATTTTGAAATATTATAGATGCAAGAATATTTAGAAAGTGCGAAGCGGATGTGAGTAATAGGCAGTTTGGCTTTCGTAACGGTTTTGGAACAGTGGAAAATCTGTATAGTTTCACAACTCTTGCCGCCCAAAATTTGAGACCAACAAAAAGATCTTTTCGTTGCGTTTATAGACTATGAGAAAGCTTTGGATAGGCTGTGGTAATATTAGATGGAAATAGCACGGATTAGCAACAGATAAGTAGAGGAGTGAGACAGGGCTGTATACTTTCACCATTACTATTTAATATATATTCCGAAGAGTTATTTACGCCAGCAGTTGAAAACTATACAGAAGGGATCAAGATAAATGGTGAAAATATAAATTTGTAGATACTAAGGAACCGTTTGATTTAACAATAAACATAAAAAAAACAAAACAAGAATAATGGTTATCAGTAAAAGGGGCAAAGTCATTACAAGGATCCAGATGAAAAATGAATATATTGAGCAAGTGGACGAAATGAAATACTTAGGAGTGTGGATTACGGAAGATCTGAATACGAAATCAGCAATTCGCTCAAGAATAGAGCAATTAAGAGTAGCCTTTTCGAAGATAAGGAAATTTCTGAGTATATATATATATATATATATACATATATATATATATATATATATATATTATATATATACATATATATATATAATATAATATATATATATATATAATATATTATATATAAATAAATTATTCAACTAGTGAATTCAGAGGTTAATCGGTCATTAAGGTTGGCAAATAAAAAACAGAAGTCAACTACTTCATAAGTTTATAGAAAACGTTTCGCTTTATACTTCTAAAGCTTCATCAGTTCTCTAAAATACAAAGATGACATAGAGTTTATAAGAAATACAGATATAATAATTTATTACTTACAACTCAATATGTAGTATTAAAGATGTTAATAAATATGTACGTAAGTTTACTCATTAATATAGAACTAACTTAAAAAAAAAACCAGAAACAAAGAACACAAAAAACTTTGCTAAAAATAATCTCATTCGCAGAAACGAAGATTTAACAAAATTTTAAAACGTACATTTGGCTTCATTTAGAGATCGTTCTCCAATGAAGACAAACAAACTCTGATTTATTGCAATCTCTGCAAACGACGTGACGCGGTACCGAAAGTTTTTAAGGGCCATATGTGCAACTAATTCCAAGGTTTGAGACAATTATGAACTTCTACGGAGGTCATTGAAGGATTCCTTGGACGGGTGGATTTGTATGACGAAAAAAATTTGATATGATTTTTTTTTGGTAATTTATGTTTTAATGAAACTTGGAGATATGGGACGATTGTGTAAATTTTGAACGGAAAATAAGGCTATTTTTAATGATGAATAATGTATTATTTATTTCGTTAAGATGAGATAGTGGTAAACCTTACCACTCTCTCATCTTACGAAATAAATAATACCATTATTTATTTTTGTATAGATTGCTGATATATGCAGCTTTCCATTCTGGGGTAGCTCTTCTCCTCTCAAGAATAAATTAAAAGTATAAGCCAATAGCTGAAATAGTTTGTCAGGTCCATATTTAATCAGTTCAATGGGTACTCCCCCCGGTCCTGGAGCCTTTTCATTTTTTATAGCGTTGGCGTGTTTTTTAATTTCTTCTGGTGTTATTTCAGTTTCTTCGCGGTAGGAAATATCATATTTTTGGTAGCCAATATCTTGGAATTCTGTTCAATCTTCTGTCAGCATTGGTTTATAATATTCGACTCATAATTCTGGGGCTATTAGAGTTAACCTACTGCATTCTTTTCTATCTATTCTACTACCTCTAATTGTTTTCCAGGCTTCTTTACTTCTTGCTGTACCCAAAAAATTTTCTACGTTATCGCAGGCTTTATTCCACATCTCATTTTTGGCTTTATTTACCTCTTTTTACTTGTAGACTCAATCTACAAATCCGATATCGGATGGTAAAATGTGATATCCACTCTATGCTTCTTTTGCGTGTCGAAGCCTAGCATGTTAATGTTAACTTAATAAGAAACCTGGAAGCTTTTGAGATGTGGCTTTTTATTAGAATTTTGAAGATATATGGATGGAATACTATGGACCGATCACATAACGAACAAAATGGTTTTGGCACAGAATGGGAAGAGACAGAGAACTTTTGACCACTATTAAAAGGCGAAAGACAGCATATTTGGGACGTATACTTAGAATAGATAAGTATAAAATTTTTACAGCTGATTATGAAAAAGGGGTCCTGGTAGACAACCAATATCCTTGCTGAATAACATTCGCTTCTGGACCAGGTCAAACACACAGATGCTCAGAAGAAAAGCAGAAGATAGAGACGAATTTGCAATGGTTATAGCCAACCCTCATTAGTGGAGACGGAAATAAAAGAAAAAGAATGATACCACTATTTTGTGTTACAATATAAAATACTCGCTAAGTTTTAAGTAACTGGTTAAAAATTTTTTAACGAAAACAGTTACTTAATAGAAATTTGTATATTTATAAAATAAAATACAAAATATCAGACCTCAGAGACAAAAACGCCACTGAGCCTCTAAAAATCCTAAAAATAAGCTGAATTTTGCTGAGAGTGTCTATTTTTGGGTCCCAATTAACGTGAAAAGCAGTTTTATCACTTTTACCCCACGGCTT